GGCTTCTGTATGAGAGCTTTCTATTTATAGTAAAGACCTTCAGCTAAAATAAAGTAACTCAGTCTTCTCACTTCATGTATGTTCCCTGTTACCGTTCAAGCCACACGCAGCATAAACTCCCCCTCGTAAATGTTTTTCATGTCACTGCCTTTAAATTCTAAAGAAATGTTAACTCTGTCAGAAGTGCAGGCACTTGGCGATCGCAGTGTGATTACAGCAGCGCTTGACTGATACTAATACAAACACACACACAGACACACTAAGCCACCCACACACCAATCTTGGCAGTGTGGAGTTGATGCTCGGAGTGATTAAAGTGGCGTGCTCCTGAATGTGTCACCTGGGTGCTGCTGTATCTTAAATCAGGACAGTGGGGCTCAGATTGGGTATTGACTGGCCCGCAGAAGTCTCCATCCATCACGCTGAGAAACGATAGCACAGATGTAGCCATATACCACTGATGTTGCTCTCCGGCAGGCAGAGGTGACGTTGGGTTAGGGTTATGGCACCAGCGGTTATTTATGCCACATGGCAAGCAGACAGAGTGGGGGCCTGTGTCACGGGGCAGATGCCGACTGACAGGCAACATATCTGCACGTCAAGCTGTGGATAAACACACGTTCAGGAGTCAACACAAAGGCACACGTACACCTGCGACAAATGTGGGTTGACAGACACATATGCTCGTGTGAAGCACTTATCGGAAGAGTTCCTTTTCTGGATCTGTCCTGTTGTCTCTCACTCAGCGACGCACACACACACACACACACACACACACACACAGACACACACACACACACACACTCAGAGGTACCACTCTGTCTTGAGGGCCTGAGCAGCATCTTTTGACTGTGTGCCTAATGATAATAAATGAGCCATCATGGGTGAGGAGGGAGGCACTAAGTCATCCTCTTCATCGACAGGAGGAAGACTGGGAGCCCCAAGGTCACCCCACTGTCAGCATCACTCTCCCTAACAACTCCTCTCGCTCTCTCACATGCACACATACATGCATGTATGTGTGTGCTTACACATGCACCTGCAGAAAAAGTGCCACAAAGTGCACCATGACATGTTAACTGTCACACACTGTTTGTGAACACACCAGACACCTGGAGAAAAAGTTGCTTTAATTTAATATTTTTAAATTTATAAGTGTACCCTTGCTTGTCCTAGGTATTAATTTGCACCAGGAGAGGTTATATTATATTGAGACTAGATGGGGATCTCTCTAATTCAGCAGCTCTTGCTGTGTGTGGGCAGTCCAGCCAAAGTAGAATCATCAGCTTGTTTCCTCTGAAGAGTTTTGAGGAGCCTGAGAAGGTAAAATAATCCAGTATTTCATTTGTGTATTTTCCTTTCATTTTGCAAGCACTAAACTTAATCCTAACCCCCGGGCCAGAACCCACTGCTCAGAGTTGTAAATAATCACAAAAAAAACATTGATTTGTAATGATTTTCTTGTTTCACTCTAAAACGTGGGACATATTTATAAAGAAAAAACAGTTTGCAGTTATCTGTGAAGCCCTGCACTTAACCCTCACCGTGCACAACCTTTTCCTTAAACAGCACCAAATCAGATCAGCTGGGGAAGACTAGCATTGCATAACTAAAACACGTCTTTATAAAAAAAAAAAAACCCTCCTGATTTCTGTCGCTCTCCCTAATGAGCTGCCACGTACTGTCTTCTCTCAGAGGCACAGATCAGAATTTAAATCTAAAGAGGGATGGAGGAAGGGGGGGGCAATTTTTACAGCCGAGAGAAGCAGAACCAGAGACGTCCAAAACCAGTGAATTATATTAATGCTGTACTAAAAATGCAAGTTTGTGGAAGACAGGAGGGAAGAGAGGAGGCATCAGAGGAGACGCGAGAAACAAACAGGGAGGTAGCACCTTCACTTTCAACTATGGGAATTCTTTACACACGCACACACATGCGACGTGCACACAGCAACACACATACACAGGTTGCAAGTTGAGACTGGAGCTGTAGAAAGCTAATTTGCACCACATTGAAATGCATCTCAATTAAAGAGAAACACATCGAGGTGCCAGGGGAGGAGAGAAGAGAGAGATGTGAGAGAACGGGAGGGAGGAGCGGGGTGTGAAACAGATAGTGTGTGTGAGAGAGTATGAGAGTAATGGAGGAGAGGGGGGTTGGGTGAAGGGTGGACTCCACTGTATTTGGCAAGGGACGAAGGGAGGGAGAGAGGGAGAGAGAGGGAGAGTAGGGAAGAGAGAGAGGGAGTGTTTTCATCTCCCTCTCTTGGAAAAACATCTCATTTTGGGATGAATCAGATTTAGAAAGGGTGTTAGGAGGTTGAGGCGCAGCTAAAAATCCTAACTAACTTCAACCTCGTTATCACCAGCGCTTTGGTTCGGTGCCAGCGTGCCAGGGCTGTCCCTGCTACAACTGTGTATATGTGTGCCTGTGGTTGTGTCCGTGGGAGTGTGTGTGTGTGTTTACTGATATTTTTAAGCCCAAGGCCAGAGTAGAATAGAATAGGTGAATGCGCGCAAGACACAGTAAGGTGTGTAGGCAAGTGTGACTGCAGGCCTCCATCTATGTGTTTCAGGTATTTTCATTTTTGAGAGAGTGCAGAATGCTTTATGCCATATTTGTCAATGATAGAAATGAGATAATAACCACATTTGAATGTGTATGTGCCTGGTAACTGCATCTGTGAGAACAAACAACAACCGGAGGAAATAACACACACACACACACAATCTGTCACATGAAAAAAAATCTGGATTGGCTTTGTATGCTGCTTCCATTTTGCACGGACTGTCATGTTCTTAAGACTGCGATGAGGCTGCCAGTTCACCACTTTAACAACACCAAGTAGATCCATTCTTTCATGCTCTTGAGAGAAGCTCAACTTGTCTGTTTCTTACGAGAGCACTTTAACCTGGTGTTTGCTTCTGCTCCGACACACATTAAGTCACGCCGCTCTTAGACTAAAGGGCATTCTGGGAAATCAAGTTCTTTTGATCCTATTCTAGTCTAAAGATGTAGTGCCCATATACTCCTGACAGCAGCCCTGTAACTGCACCTGGATATAAAGCACCTACTTCATAACCAGCATCAGTGATAATCTGATGATCAGTGTTATAAGTATCATTAAGAGGAGCCCAGCATGACAATATTATCATCACCTTCATCTTGACACCCATCAGCGACGCCATGTGAGCACATCATTTGAGAATACATCATCTCATTTTCACCTGACAAAAAAAAACAGATGCGGGTCGCCAGGGCTAAATGATTGATTCATTGCATGATTGGCTGGCCGTGTCTATGTAAGGAGGTTCAAAATATTCTCAGAGGAAAGTTGGTACGTGAATTTCAGCCCGAGAATGCAGGAGCTAAATTGAGGAGGGATGACAGAGGACACTCTCCCAGTGAAACAAATTTCTTTTGATACGTTCTTACTTTTACCTTAACTTAAGCTGGAATCATGAGGTAGAAAAAAAGAAAAGTTGTGATTATTAAATAGCCACCGCTCACCCTGATGGTAACACTGAAGGACACAAATCATTTCTTTCATGCACTTTCACGACTGCTTTTGGGGCCATTGCAAAGCGGGGATACAGTGGAGTGGATTTAAGGTCGCCTTTGTTTGTATTTATGTCTTTTTGGTCAATCTTTGTACGCTTCCCTTATTTGTCTTTCGTGTGGTACAGCTAAGTTAAAATAAGCAATGGCTCTCATTCATATATCCCTGCTGCTGGTGACAGGAATGTCAAATCCACATGAACGTATTGTGTGTCAGTGAAGGGCCCTGACAGCTAAATATATAAATATAAATAGCTAAAAGAAAAACTGCTTACATGGGTTTTCTTTTTCCCTCCAATACTTTGAGTTAGCATAATCTCTCTCTCTCTCTTTCCCTCTTTTGCTTTTTGCTCACTTATTCTTTCCTTGCACATGACTGAGTAGAGCACCCACAGACACACAAATCACAAAAAACACACTTTCCTGAGTCCATGCTCCACCATGACGGCCCCATCCTGTACACGGACAATAAAACACATCAGCAAACTCCTCAGACAACCTCCACGGGCACACCGTCACGTTCCTCTGTGTTTTTACTGCCTCTCAATCTGCCCTCCATGACACCGCTTATGAGCCTTTTACGTTGCGCGCGGCCTGACAGATCGAGTTGTCATTACATTAAGTAGGGCCTCTCGATTAGCGCAAATGGTGGCAGGCAACCAGATAATCGGGCTGTGGACAGCAAGTGTGGCTATGTGGGAGGTGAGATGCTGGCGGATGGTGTGTGGGAGAGTAATGTTTTATGTCGGAGGAAGTGTGATATCTCCATTATAGACAAGCTTAATTGATAAACAGGACAATAAAAAAGCAAGCAAATGGCCTCAAATATTTCTGCCTACAGCACGGCCAGAAACACTGTGGGACGCCACCATCTACATATATATAGCTCTGTAATGGCACTGACAATAATAGCATATTAACTAGAGGCTTTGGAGCGATATCAGACAATGTCATCATTGTAGAAGAGGAATAAGAAAGACCAATAAAATCTCTCATGAAAATAAAAAAAGAGGGATGCTTCCCTGAGGGATCCCTAAAATGTTTCTTTGCTCTCACACCCCTCTCACCTTAGCCTCACCCCCACCACACACACACACACACACACACACACACACACACACACACACACGCACACACACACACACTGGATTTTACTATCTCCATCCCTCCATGATAATTGTCACAAATGGTTTAATTCCCATGCATAATAAGAGGGAACTTCACAGCCATGGGCTAAACATTTTTTTTACACAGAGAAGCATCGCAGCAGCACTACCTTTATTGCTGTCAATGCATAAAGACGCATGTAATTGAAAAGAAGACAATAAAGTGATCGTTAAGACATGCACGTTCTCAAATGTGCAAGAGAAGCTGCACAGACACAGATTGCACCCATGCAAACATTGCTTTCTTTCTTTCTGTCTTTCTTCAAAGTGCTCACCAGAAGATGTGGATGAGAGCTCGGTGTACGGAGAATCCCGAGGAGTTTCCCGTGTCTCTTCAGCCCCAAGTTGAAGGCAGCGATCAGACGCGCTCCCACGGTCCCGACTCAGCTGCGGAGAGAGAGAGACACAGAGAGGGAGAAAGAGAGAGCGAGGGAGGGGGGGGGGGGGAGGAAAAGGTGCGAAAAGGAGGAGAGCCACGTTTTAGTATCAGCTCCAACACACAGGCGGCAATCCAGGTCAGCCTGCCTCCACCCACCAACCCGCCCAAAAAAGTACATCAGTAATTACCCCCGTTTAGATCACTAATCCACGGCTGCACCTCTACAACGAGACCGGATGACCACCGGAGAGAGGGAGGGAACAAAAAGAAACAAGAGAGAAGCGGCTGTCAGGCTTTCACTTCAAACTGATGCTGACGATGCGCACAGAGATAAGCTCCGGAGGGGAGAGAGAGAGGGAGGGAGGGAGAGAGAGAGAGATACACAGTCACTGAGAGAGAGAGAGAGAGAGAGAGAGAGAGGGAGAGAGAGACACACACAAACAGAGAGAGAGAGAGAGAGACAGACAGACAGATACACAGAGGGAGATACACACACACTGAGAGAGCGAAAGAGAGAGAGAGAGAGATCAGAGGTGCAGTGGTGAGAGACAGATCTGGAGGATTGAATAAAAAAAACACACCACCTAAAAGTTATTCAAGTAGGTCAAGATATGAGAGAGAGAGAGAGAGAGAGAGAGAGAGAGAGAGACACACACACACACACACACACACACACACACTGTCCTGTCTCCCTGACCTCAGTGGACATTACATCGACTTACATTGATTTCCTGGAGACTTGCTCTAACCACAGTCACTACATGCCTAACACTAACCTTTACCCTAACCTTAATGTTCTGCCCTATGAGGACTGGATGTTTGTCCCCATAGGAAGACAAATCCCCATAATGTGACTAAACACAACAATAATGATAATAATAGGTTTTATTTGTAGAGCACCTGTCAATACAAGTAACAAAGTGCTTTACAAGAAAAACTCACAGAGTAACAATAATACATAAAGTCACAGACATCATAAGGTCCCCACATATCACAACCCTGAGCTATTACCATAATTCACATCTCACTCCTGACCTGAACCTGAACCTCATTAAGAAATGAGGTTCTGCCTTATGAGGACCATGTATTTGTCCCAAGTACAGACGATACAAAAACAAGTACACACACAAGCACACACATACATACTGATGCACCTGTTAAGTAATAAAACACAATGATAAGTTAGTGATCCTCTGCCCTCAGGCTAACAGCCACGAGGAACAACTGAGTCTCTTTCTGTTTGTGTGTGTGTGTGTGTGTGTGTGTGTGTGTGTGTGAGAGAGAGAGAGAGAGAGAGAGAGAACATAAACAATTATTAACCAACCTGTCTTGTATGGTAATACAACTTTTCCTATTTTCATAACCAGAAGAGAAATTTTGATTTCCTAAAAAGAAGAAAATGCTTTCACAAGATGACCTGGGACGTTCTGGCTCACAGCCAGACACACCTCAGGTGCTGGAGTTTTCTCATGTGATTTGCAGCACTTGCACCATTTATCATCCTACAATTAATATGCAAGATTTCTCTCCTATTCTGAAAAACTCGGGCTGTGTTTTTCTTCTCCCTCCAACAGAGAAGTAACGCAATAATCAATCAAGATACAATATGTGCATTTGCTGTACTTTATGTACAATGTTTAACCACCGTGCGTGCCTAAAACATAACTACATGAATCTGGAATAAATACTTCACCTGTGCAGAAAAGGAGGAAGATGTCCTGGGTAACACCACACGTCATGTATCAAATGAGAATGGCTTCAAGTCAACTCACTTAATTCATGGTGAGAAAAGACGCTTCAACATGTGAATGCTTCTCATCTCAGTCCATTGAAGAAAACAAGCAAACATATGGTTGCATTGTAACGTAGATCGTCACTTTGAGAAACTACACGTCGAAAGCTCCTGAAGAGGCCTCGTGTGAAAACGTGCCTGACTGTTTTACAGGAACATTAAACTCTGAGAACATGATAAACTGTCAACCCTCATCCAAACCACACAGGTGACACTCTCCGCTCCCCTCTGGGTTTGACAAAGCCACGAGTTCCCACAGCTGCCTGATCCTAACTGAGAACAAACACCTCTCTGGTCAAATGTTACAGATATTATTGCAGAAACACAACAATGAAACCAGGAAATAAAAGCTACTAAAATGTGTGTAATATCTCATTTTCAAACTGAGGCCACAGTGCCAAACACTGTAGCCTTTTATTTTACCAAAGCATTATCCCTTTTCTAAATCTCCTTTTTTGTATTATGCTTTCATATTGAAAATTCTGCCGGCAGAAGGTCTGTGTCCCATCTCTTGAATATCTGATCTTTTATTAACTGCAGTCATGACTCCTTGGTGGCTCCTGCTACTCACAAGATAGGAGTGGCAGACATCCTGTGTCCTCCTGCACGAGGACACAAAGACAGGGGAGCATATAAAAGAAAAAGAGCGAGGACAAGACAGAGGGAAAGAGAAGATGGATGGAGTGAGCAGGGGGCAGAGTTCAGGGTGAGATCCATGTCTGTCTCAGGCCGACTTTCCTGTCCACAGCCAGAAAGACAGAGAGAGAGGGAGAGGAGGAAAAAAGAGGAAGAGGAGAATCTTTTCTTTTCATATCTCATTCCTGAGTCACCACTTCATCAGTCCACCTACCCCTCGCTCTCCTTTCCTGTCTCTCTCTCTCTTCATCCATTCTCTCTGTCTCTCTAACCCTCTCTCCCTCTCCTCTGTCCCTCCTTCCCTGCTTTCTCCTCTTTCTAGGAGCATCTCTTGTTTGTTCATGCGCCCAAATGTCAGCAACATCCTGCTCTCTATTTACAGAGCATGTGGGATGAAATGTGAGTGTGCGTGTTTGGTTGTGCGTGTGCTATCTCTGTGCTCCTGTAACTGTGTGTATCTGTATGTATTTGTATGTGGGCTCAATTCAGTGTTTTTTGTGATATGCTGGAGTATTGATCTGTATATGTATGTATGTACGTACATGTAAGACTCTGGGGTATTTTGTAATCGAATGTAAACCCTATGAAACTCTTGTCAGGCATCAATGTTAAAAGATACGTCCCTGTATGTGAATCAATGAGTCAACTGGTCAGTTAGATAATCAGTTAATCAATCGGTTTCCTTTTCTCCTTGAGAGGGCAGACAGAATGAAAGTCACAAGAAAGGTCAGGAATGTATATGAGAGAAATAAAAGAAACCTTAACTTTGAGGATTTAAAGTTCCAGACATCCCTTGTAAAAGCTACACGGCTTTCGAGCGGTTTATTTAAGACACTCTGGGACTCAACACTTCAGTAGATGTGGGTCTAAATGTGGATTTCAAGGTGATGAATCTTATTCCTGTGTGCCTGCTGTTATATCCGCCTGTTCATCTGTATTCTCGATCGTGATTCACCCTAAAATAATAAGAGCAAATTCTTTGTTCTTGTTTGGATTGCAGGTTCGCTTATGCCAGGAGATGCACAGGCTTCACTGTTTGTATAAAACAGTTGCAGACCTTGGAGATTGGTACAATAGTTTAAAAAGAAACTGACAAATGAGTTCTTTCACTTCTGAGGTTACAGGCTGAATGGCGGCTATTTAATGCAGTTTGGTTTTCCTTTCAGAAGCTTGTAGAACTATTTCTCCTGCTTGAAATAAAGTGGATTCTCCTCAAACCTATAAGGTCACACGGTAAAAAATCAATTTCCTATGCATTAATATGGAATCAGACCCATTGAAAAACTATTAAAGACGAATAGAAGCCAACTCCTCATCCCTCCGTCTTAATTATCCTTCCCCTGGGCTGTCGTCATTAAGGCGAGCCAGACACTGGGACATATTTGGCATTATATTTTTAATGCTACAACAACTGGCTCAGCAGAAAACCACCACAGATTATTCACCGCGTGTGTCTTGGCTGGGCTCCATATACTGTGACACATTATCATACTTTCAGCCCTCCCTCTCTTCTACGCCTTTCCCCCCATGCGCTTCCTCTTCTCTCACCTCCTCCATCCCCCTCTTTTCCTTCTCCAGCTTTTTCTTGTCCTCCTCGGAATGGGGGAAAAAAGAGAAATAGAACAGAGCACCTTCATACATGTTCTGTCGATTTGGTTACGAGGTAACTGTATTGCCGTGTGCATGAGCGCTGTGTGTGAGTGGGGTTGACGGTGCATTGTGTTTGTGCCAGTTGTTTGTGTGCATCTCTGTGTGCAGCAGGAAATTCAAAACTAGGCCATATCGACCACCCAGGGGTTTGAAAGCTCAGGGGGTACCAAAGCAACATGGTTTAAATACGAGAGAGAGAAAAAAGCATTTCAAACACCATAAAGGGGAAAAAAAGACAAGACAAGACAACACACACACACACACACACACACACACACACACACACACACACACACACACACACACACAGATGCAGCCCTCCCATCTGATAAACCCTTGGCTCACATCGTGTTCAGAGAGCAACATCAAACACTTAATCACACACACACATCTAAATAAATCTCATCCAGCTTGATAAACATCCATATTTCATTTATACATTCCTCCTCCAGCCGGTGCTGGTGGCCGGCCATTTTCCTATAGATTAGGGCTTCCCCTGCTGACAGCCCCAGAGCGATGAGCTGCAGACCTTGTCACGATCGATCCAGCTCAGAGTATAATGGATATGAATGGGATCAGCTCTGATTGGTTTTGAATTTTATCTCCGAGCTGGTGATTTAACTCACCCTATGACCACATCAGTGTTTGGATTGGTTAAGCAAAAAGTTTTAGAGGCGTGTGCTGGGTTTGGACTTGCTGACACTGAGAGGAAATGGTTGCACTACTCGTAGGGTCAAGTGAACGTAAATTATTTTCTGTTTTCCGTATTTTTCCAGATTTTTTAGGGCTATGCTTAAGGAGGAATTTTTGTTTATTCCGATATTTTGGCTTTAATCTCGACATTCTGACTTCATTCTTTTTTAGTCACTACATTTCGACTTTATTCTTGACATTTTGAATTAATCAAACATTTCTGCCATATTCTCGACATTTTGTCTTTATTCTCAGAATAGAAAAATGAAAAATATCTTATGTTTGAGCCTAGTACCCTCATGAATTTTTTAGAGCTTAAATGTCTGAAAAAGCAAAAATAAAATACAAGGTTGAAAACATTACATTTGTATGAAAGAGGGAGATGTAGCTGTGTGGGTGGGAATTTATTGTTCTATTTCAAGATGACAGCGAATATCAATAACTTCCATTAATATTAGCCTATATCCTCTTCAGCTACCTCAGGTCATCACCTCCCAACTGCGTCTCCATTGAGACATTGATTATGT